AACAAAATTAACAATTCGCCTAACTCTCGCATGCTCTTTAAACATTTTCCTTTGTCCTCCTCCTCCCCCTCCTTCATCAACTCTAACAGCTGACGACTTTGCCACATTCTTCATTAATACAATTAAAACCATCAGTAAAACCACCAATTTTCCACACCACAATCTGTCAAGACCATCCATCTTACCAGCAAACATACACTCGTTCACATCCTTCTCTCCACTCAAGACTGCCTTGCTCTCATTTGTTGAAGCCCTAAGACTGGCAAGAGTGGATTCCAGATCTTCAATACTTATCTTGCTGGATCTGTCCGCTGCTTTTGACACGGTTAACCACCAGATGTTGATTTTGATTGCTTCCATTGTCCTCATTTGTAAGTCGCTTTGGATAAAAGCATCTACTAAATGTAATGTAAATGCAAATGTTACCGTTTAGGTTTAATTTGTTTTTATTTCAGTTGTAGTTTTAGTTCAGCTGTAGTTTATTTATTTCCAGTCAGTAACTTAAACACTTGTCAGTTAGCTGCCAAAGCAACATTTCTCATATTATTATTATTTAATGTTTTCTTTCAATTTAAACTTTTTTTAAAAATTTTTTTAATGTAAGTTTTGGTTTCAGTTAACAATAATAATCCTGGAGCAGACCTGCAATCAAATATAAGAGAGTTTTCATTTGTCACGTGTTCATCACCACATCATTCCCAGACTTACATTAGTCTTATTTCACCATTTTCATCATTTATATTTATAACATAGATGCAAACTTTCAGTGACAACTCACTTTGTTTGAGATCAAAATAGGTCACCTATAAGATTTGCTTAGATCCAATGAGAAAGTGGTGTTATGAGGGCAGGGGGGTCTTACAAGGGTAAATAAAGAACTGTTGTTTCAATAAGTTTTGCATAGTATTTTCTTTACTCTTTACTTCAAAAACTATTGCTAAAAGGGTAATATTTGATGTATTTGAGGTCTGAGATGTGGGAACGGTGAAGAGAGAGAGAGAGGGCAAACATTTTGCATTTTAGGTCAGCATTGCCGTCTAATCAGCCAATATTGTCTTTAATAGACTGCATAGCATTTCATCTTTTATAACATGCGATATATTCAATCTTGATTTTTGTAAAATGTTGCAACAAGATGTTAAAAATTTTATTTATTTATTTTTGTGAAAAATTACAGGTTTGGACATATAAGGTAATAAAAAATACCTTAAAGTAACTACAAATGAGCATGTAAAGCAAATATCTTTAAAAAAAAAGATTGTGTGCGAGTGAGTGTGCGTGTGTGCGAGTGAGTGTGCGCGCGTGTGTGAGTGTGTGTGAGTGTGTGTGTGTGTGTCTGTCTGTAGTGTGTGTAATGGTGTGTTAATGCCGCGCAGGTCAGTGCTCCACGTCCTCCGTAGATCTGGAGACGGACTCGGCCACAGACTCGGAGCTGCGTGAGGGCATGCTGGGACGAACCGTGGAGGCCGATATGGACGACAGAGGTCTGGAGACGCCCATCTTCTGTATGGACAGCAAGACCAACGAGAGCTCGTGCCCCTCATGGCTGCAGAAGGTGAACGCAGATTTAACACCCATCTTCCTTCTGAGGCTCTTAAAGAGTTCCTTATTCATCCTTACACAAAAAAAAGATCTAAAGTCAGAGCAGAAAGTCTTCCATTTGCAGTCATGTCAAGCGCAAACTGGGTTAACATGCTTTTTTGGGCATTAAATAATGGTGCAAGCACCAGGAAACTAATTACCGCAAAAACCTTAGCAAATCATGTTGTGTGATTCATGTAAATGCTCTCCTCACATAAATCTTGTGTCTGAAAGGGAAACTTAAAAAATAAATATGGAGTTACGTACGCATTTTCAGCCCTAACGTTTCCCAGTGTGTCTTTAGTCAATCCTGACGGTAGTCTTTAATGCCAAAAGAGGGTTTGCACTGATGCGAAATGTTAGTAAATCTGGCTCATCAATGTCATTTTGTATCTCCAGAAAATGTATCCTGATTTAAGAATTTTTAGATATTTGTAGTAGAAAACATGATGAAAATACTTAAGAACATCAGTTTTTTACAGAGAACACATGACGTGTTGTGTTCCCCTCAATTTTTTACTTAACCCTCTGGTCCTCTTCATTTTTGGGTCATACTCGGTACTTCATGGTCAAAAGTGACCAAAGCCTTGAAATGTAACTCTTTTTTTTTTTTTTTCAGGAAAATCAGTCTAATAAATTGTTCAATAATATTGTTTTTATTATTATAAAGACTTTTGAGGGGATTTTATGATACTATGCAATATTTTTACCATTACATTTTATTTGCATTTTTCGTATTTGCCATTTATTTACTATATCGGTCATTTTTGATCCCGAAGGTACCACGTGTTACTTTTTATTTTTGGCCCTTTAACATATCCAAATCATATCCATGATTTTGTGTGTGTGTGTGTGTTCACAGTCACTAATTGTCATCTCATTCTGATGAAGCCAAAAATTGTTACATTTCAAAATGTATTTTTATTTTTTTATCAAAAGTGACCAAAGAAGCCCAGAGGGTTAAATTCCCTTTACTTGGTCTTAAAAAGGTTTTAATAAAACCCTACAGACAAACTTGAGTGTGTTTTTCCAGCAGCTCTCTCTAGGGGTGTGAATCGAACTGGCTTCATGATTCGATTACGATTATCTTGTCAATGATTCAATTCGATATCACTATGCATCACGGTTATATCAAATTTATTTTGTGCATTTTTATTAAATTACATAAGCAGGCTACTTTTTAAAAATAATTACAAATTAATAATAAATCTAAAAAATTGTTAAGAATTAACCAACTAAATATAGCTTCAAAACATACAAGCAAATATAAAGTAATAAAGGGGGAAAAGACAATTACAAGTCATAAACAAAAAGGACTTTTATTATCTGAGAGTGCTTTAAATATCCAAAAGTTTACAGACAATCATGGGTTTTTCTTTTTTCCTCAGCATTATTGCTGTTTGATTATTATTATTATTACTAATGACATTATAGAGAGTAGCAGGCTGCGTTCACACTAATGCACAGATCTATTTCCACATATCAGATGTTTTGTCCTGTTCTGAAAACTGACTCCGTTTACATCAGTTTCCTATTATAAAAGTATTCGGAGAAGCAAGTGCATTTAACCGCAGCCGCGATCGAGCTTCAGGACAACTAACACAGAGCGCACGTGAAAGTCTGTCAGTGCGTGAGTTTTGTGAATCTAATACGCACTGCTTTCCAAACAGCAGACATGAAAGCATATCTAAAGTGAAACACTGAAATAAATCTCACAGCGCATATTCTGTGCAATGAAGCCTCCACGATTCTCTCTAGCGCACACACGCTTTTTCCCGCACTAAGCTTGGTTTTTCCTAAATGTGCCCAGATCTTGGACTTAAAAATAGTGGGTGCATTATTTAATACTGGCGTGAAAAGTGCATATGATGTCAGTAGGCTATAATCGATTATGGTCTATTACTGCGTCGTTGCAGAAGCGTCCGCGCCCGCATCGCGATGCATCGCTGCAAATATTAATTTAAACACCCCTAACTCTCTCTGTGTGACTGCAGGAGCTGCTGGATGCTGAGTTCATCCCGATGCCCGACGATTCCCAGGACTCCATCGAGCCGCTGACGAAGCCCTACATCGAGAGCGCCACGCTGCCCTACGAGGAGCTGGACCAGATCAAAGCCACCGCCACCGCCACGGGAAAGAGCCTTATGGTACACCGATTGCATTCTAACCCTAACGGGGGCGGGGTTTCCTCACGAGTGGGCGGGGCCTCCCTGAGCTGCGTGGCTGACCCGTGTGTTGTGTATGTTTTGCAGCCGGCTGCATGCGTGGATTACGAGCGGATGAACGGCGTGGAGACGGGACGCTCCGAGCAGAGCTGCTGTGGCGCGAGCATCGAGCTGGCAAACGTACGCTTCACACTGCTTTAGCACAGATCTGAAACAAGGTTACGATTGACATAGATGCAAACTCCTCACCTTTCAGTGACAACTCACTTTTTTTGAGATCAAAATAGTTCACCTATGAGATTTGCTTAGATCCAATGAGAAAGTGGTGTTATGAGGGCAGGGGGGTCTTAAAAGGGTAAATAAAGAACTGGGTCTGGTTGCATAAAGTGTTTAGACTAGTCTTAAAAAGTTAGTCATCTAATTTTTTTCTTCAAGACTGCTCGTAACTTTTTTAATTCAGTTATGAAAAGGTAGATTTGTCTAATTATGTATTGGGAGAGTAAGACTAGTTACCCTTGGCAGCTGCTAGTTGGTCAAACTAGTTCTTAAGACACAGTCGGTGGCTAAGTTTATGCAACTGGCCCCTGGCTGTTTCAATAAGTTTTGTATAGTATTTTCTTTACTCTTTACTTCAAAAACTATGTCTAAAATGTGATGTCTGAGATGTGGGAACGGTGAAGAGAGAGAGAGAGAGGGCAAACATTTAGCATTTTAGGTCAGCATTGCCGTCTAATCAGCCAATATTGTCTTTAATAGACTACATAGCATTTAATCTTTTATAACATGGGATTTTGATCAAATATATTCAATCTTGATTTTTGTAAAATGTTGCAACAAGATGTTAAAAATTTTTTATTTTATTTTTTTTAATTACAGTTTTGGACATATAAAAAATATTTTAAAAAATACCTTAAAGTAACTACAAATGAGCATTTAAAGCAAATATCTTTAAAGGAAATTCCGTGTGGAGCATGCCCCCCCGATCTATTTCAGCGAATGCCATTTTTATTTAGATGTCCTAAAATAACTAAAACTGAAATGAAAATTAATAAAAGCTATATAGACATTAAGAAATAGTACTAACAACAAAAACACACAAAATGACAGGCTTTAACTAAAATTGAAATTAAAACAAATTAGATATCAAATAAAAAAATAAAAGATAAAAATAAACAAAATATTAATAAAAATCAAAGGTCAAGTCACCTTTATTTCTGTAGCGCTTTACACAAGCAGCTTCACATGAATAAACAAGAATAACAGAAGCGACGATGCAAACCCCATCAAATATAGGACGAAATCATTCATATTACTGGATATTAGGTGTCTTTTGTTACTCAGTGATACTAAAAAACCCCTGATGGACACAAACTCTGACCTTTTTAATTCGGACCGTGATTCCATCCAGCTGCAGGATTTCAAACAAGCTTAACATTTTGAGCCTGATTTTATAACACACATTAGCTGCGTCCAAAATCACATACTAGTTGGTACTACAACTCACGAATTTTAAAAAGTATATTCTGTATAGTATGAATGTGATCCGGACATATTACGTCTGTCGTGTTGTCATTGTCACATGACCTATCAGCGTCATTTGTGTCACTTCGCTGTCATTCACAAATCCTCTCCCGTGGCCTCGTGGGATATAGATACATACTAAATAGAAAGCAAGTAGGAATTTTTGGACACAGAGATTGTTTTCATCTGTCATGTGTATGCCGGTATCACGTTTTCATGTTGCGATTAATTGCTAATGGGTCAAAGACGAAAAAGGGTTTAAGCATAATTTAAATCAGTATTACACTTATTGTTTTTGTTGTTGTTTTTCCAAAAAAATTTAAAAAGTTTTCTGTTTAATTTAATTGCAATTTTGTTTTTGTTTTTCCGAGCAAAAAATAAATATCATAAATTTTCCCCTGATTTACAGAAGACACCCACTAAAATGTCATTCAGTGTAACAATCTTGTCAGGCATATTTACAACAAAAATCAGTTTATGACATTTTAAAAGACTAATTACTTTCACCGCAAATACTAATTAGTTGTAATTTTACATTTTTTAAATGTGCCACTATCTTAGGTTTTGCCCGTTTGTCAGTAAGAATTTTTTTACTCATTTAAAACACAATAAAATTGAATATGCTCACTTATTCTTTTATATATTTTAATATGTACACGTCAGAATAAGCATGTTTGAATTTTTACATAAATATTGTGTTACACTGAATGACAATGTAACATTATTTAAACCACATTTTGACATTTTATTCTCCAAAAACTTATTTGAAACCTTAAAAGTAGACACTTTACTTACATTTAATGTGCTTTCTATGGACATAAAATCACTTTTATAAATTTATTTTGATGCGGACATCTTAACGTCTTTGACCGTAATGCTTTTATCACGGTATACAGTATTACATTTACAAAAAAAAAAAACAAGTAGTTAGTAAATGAATCGAGTGCAAGTCTAAAAGGGGAAAGTTTTTTTTTTTTAAAGAATAGAAATAGAATAGAAAGTGCTAGAGTTAGAGGGTCAAATAAAGATGGAAGAGATTTAGCCGATTCTTGAAGAAAAATTGTCATGATATTGAAATTTAGTTTAAAAAAGTGTTGTCATAATACAGTATAACAGGTTTGATAACTTTAAATAACTTTTAAAAAAAATAACTGAACATTTAAATGCAATAAAGCAATACACAAAAAATGTATAAAGTTAAAAATTTTACACGGATTAAAGTGCAAAAGAACTATAAAGACCAATAGGTATCACTTTACAATAAGATCTCATTAGTTAACCTTAGTTAATGCATTAACATTCACAATGAGCAATAGCTACATTTGCTACAGAAGTTATTAATCTTTGTTAAAAAAATACAAGTCTTAGTTCATGTTAGCTCATTAAATAACACAGTTGCAACTTTCGATTTTAACAACGTGTTATTAAATATTGGAATACCTAAGATTAATGAATGTTCAGAAGATTTTTTCATTGGCAGTTTGTTAACTAATGAATTAACTAATGAAGCCCTAATGTAAAGTGTGACCAAACAATAAGAAATCAAAACAATTTCAAACAATATCTAGGGCATGTTGTAGACTAGTCCAGATTAAAACGTAAAAAAAAAAAGTTAGAAAATAAGTAACCTATTAAGTCTAAATATTTAAGTATTTGGCGCTGTGATGAACACCATAGCGAATACACAAATCTGAATGGCTGTTTAAATCATTTAAACACGTTTCAGAAACAGAAAGTAGAGCAGCTGCTTTGTGTCCAGGGTTTCCGGGGTAACGGCTGCATTTCTGCTGTTTAGCGCCACCTGCTGCAAAGACTATAGAACGCCCAAGACGTGCCACTCGTATAGTTTTGAATGGGGAAAAATGCAATTGCATTGTGACCAGTTGATGGGAAAATTATTCGTAAAATGCATTCAAAATTCTGAATAATTTGTAATAAATAATTATTCCTCTGTATTTTGAAGTGCCCACGACAACAATATCGTGCATATTCATTATCGTGATATATCGCATTACCGAATACCGGCACATGGCTAGTCATGTGTCTTTAAAGTGTTTTTTGCGCAAGAGCTTAAAGGCCTCATGTTATAAAGAAATAAAATATTCCTTGATATGTAGACGTATAAGAGGTCACTAGTCAGCCCAAATCTGATTTTGTGCATATCCGGATGGAATCTGATTCGACTAACTGACTGTCCACACAGTGTATCACAACTATTTATATCCGATTATAAAACTGATAGTTCCGGTCCTTGAT